GAAATGCAACAAAATTATTTTGTATTTCCAGCTACAATATTTGTTAGAAGCTCTTGTTCTACAGTTACATAATTGCCTTTTTGATCTAATAAATGTGCTTTATGTCTGTGTTTCTGTTAATATCCACCATTGTCTTGTTATCATCATGATGATAGCGAGCTGTAATAGCAAGGCAATCACAATAGTTTATTGTTGAAATTCTTCATAAGCTTATCACAGTTTTTATTCTCTATCAAGGCTGCAAAGCAGAACATGTTCAGATTTTTAACCTTCATTTTTGACTGAAACGTGTAGAAAAATCACATCGTTACACCATGAAATATATTAAAAGTAGAGAAAAAGAACAAATTAACTAGCACACTGACCAGATTGTTCAAACTGTCGTTTAATTTCAAATAGAGAGACAAAGTATGAACATGTAAAACAGCTCTGAAAATAAAAATAATAATTTAGAAAATTTAAAATTTATGCCTTGATAAAGCGTCAGAACTCCATATTCATTTTGAGGGTCACTTTTTTTTCTGAAAAAGTAATGAATATACATTTAAAAATATGAAAATATTTAAAGTAAAACTGTAAATTAAGGTGGGAATTTTAAAATGAAACTATATTCTTTTTGTTTTCTATATCATTGTAGAAATACTACATTTACCCATAATAAGTTTTTTGTTTTTAAAGTAGAAGGGTTGAAGGTCAGTCTTTCACTTGTCCTTTAGGCCATAGTGAGATCAAAAACCTCTTCCTGTAAATCAAGTATAAATACATATCTCAGAAACCTGGAGGTAAAAGCTAAATTAAGTTACAGAGAATGGTTATATTATCATATCTTCTAAATACACCCTTGCTTTAAACCAAATTGTACTCCACTCTCATATGGGAAAACAGATTATAGCAAAGGCTTTAATTATCCATATTCTACTGATGATTTAACTAATTTTAAAGTTATTTTTAGGAAAGGCAAAAAAGAGCAGGTTTTAAATCCTCTCATATTCTGTGTACCATATGCATCTTTTTTGATGTTGCATAGATTGCTAAATCGTAAGTCCTGGGCTTTCCCTTTGTAGGCTCAACCAGCTGCTGCATTAGCTGTTCCTGTGTCTTTTTTCTGTGTTGAGCGCGCTTAAGCCCTTATGCAACCTAATACTTTCTGTCATTGGAATAATTTTCTGCTGTTAACCAAATGCACGTTCTGCTTTGCGGTAGGGCTTGCTTTCAGTTCCTGTGGTGGAGGAAAGTGAATACTGATGATACATTTTTTTGCAGTGACAGGATGTTTATCAATCACCTTGCACTTTCTTTGATTTTGTACTATTACATGTTCTGTACATCAATTTTGACATTTGTGATGGAACTGGAACTTTCCTTGTGTCCATGGCAATAAAGCTACATCCATTAGGAAGGTCTGTGTTTACTATTCCTCTTAGGTATGTCTTGGCAGAAGTGGACAGTTAGTTTGATTATAAAGTAAATATTCACTGGAAAGATTTTGACAGGTCTGAAAACCTCCGTGCCCCAGAGCTGTATTCAAGACTCATTTCTTTTCCTGCTTCACTCTTTATTTTGCTTTACAACTCTGGTGTGAAAATGGCTGAACAGACAACACTTTTGAGGATGGGACTTTTAGAAGTTCTGTAGGAAATCTGTAATCTTTGCTGGAGGCTGGATGCATAATGTTGCACACATTGTAGTAGAATTGGTAACACTGGAGCAAAGCACCTGGCTTTTGAAAGTGCTGATGCAATGGCTCTGATTTTCCGCTGTAAGGAAGCCTGATGTAGCCAGTATTATACGCTAGTATAGTTTGAGGAGGTTGATAGCTAATACCCTTGATACGTACCATACTCTGAGGAACATAGCTGCCAATTCCATCTGTGTCTGTCTCAAAGTCGCAGAATAAAAACAGATCCTCAGCCTACTTTGGGCTCCCAGGTGGTCCATGCAGAACCAGAGTCACAGGCAGGAGGAATTTAAAGCAGAGAAGATGGGTAATAGAAGGTCAGAAGCAGGAGAGTTTGCTGAGACAGAGGTAGATCTCAGATAACATTTTATTCCTTTTTACTGAACTTGCGTATGACCCACATTGCTGCTGTGAAGAGTAGTGTTTCTTCCTGATAATCTGTGGGATCTCTGGCACTGCTTATTCACTTAGAGCCCAGTCATTTATGATTTTCGACATTTCTATATGAGTTCTGAGCCTCTTAGACAACACATGGGAAAAGGATGGTTTGGGAGATGCTGAAAGCAAGCAAAAGGAAACGGGAGGAATGGAGACTGTATGCCAAGATAAGAAGGAAGAAGAAGAGCAATGACAGCTGTCCTGGGGAAGGCATTAGTGCTGCAGGTCTCAAAGTGAGAATATTTTATTTCATTCTAGGGTAGTAAGCTGCTGTAACCATATTCTCCAGGCCATAGACCTGAACATAAAAAAAATGTAATTCTGCCCTCTACAATAAACAAATTTACTGAGTAGAAAAGAAACAGAAAATACTTGGTTCTGATCATATTCTCTTGTCCAAAGCTGCACTTCTAAATTAAATATGTATGTAGGCATGGGGGGAAGGAGGCTTCCAGTCATGTTTTTATTCTTCTTTATCTTGGGGGAGGTGACAGCAAGTGACTCAGACTGTAGATGCCAGACCCGACACAGTGGCAGGAAGAAATATTAGTCTGTACGAGAAGCACGTGCTGAGTGCATACCTGATTTTTGTCACACGCAAGAAAAAGATGGCAAGCCAGACGCAGTGTCTCATGAATCACACTGAATCTGTTGGCTGCCAGTTAGACAAGTGATATAGAGTCGTATGAACTGATGTATAAAGTGATACCAATTCATTTACGTCTGTAAAATGATCTCACTGCTGCTTCTTTTCTTCCTCTTAGTACATCTTTCTAACTTCTGTGCTCAAAAAAATCATTTGTTTTTTTCACTCAGAGACTAACACAGCTACTGATTTTTTTCTGGGCACTTCTCAGACCATATGTTAACCTTGAAACTTGCTGTAATTATAGTTGAGATTTTGCATCCAGCAATCACCAGTGGAAACACTACTTGTTACATTCTTCAATTGAGCTGGTTATCGCTTAATTGTGAGATAAAACTGACTTTTGGCAAAGGTTTAATTAATTTTTGAATATAACTCTACTTTAGGTTGTTTGGAAAAAAGTGGTAGTCAAATTAGAAATTTTTTTTAATATCAAAAAGCTTCAATTTAAAAAAAAATTGTCATTTAATGAAAGGTTTTTTCTAACAAATGCTCTTGCATATGGTAAATCCTGACAAGCTTGTTTATACCAAGAAAGGAGGAAAATGTAAACAGTTATATGAAGTGATTATATTAAGAATTGAGAGGTCAGTCAGAAGACTTTAACACGCAGACATGATCTGTTACACTCAAAATCTTGTTACGGACAAAGGGGAATGCACTTTATATACTGAGCTAAGCATTTATGGTTCATCTAATTAGTTTTGACTGATAAAATTAAGTCCATATTATCTAATTATTAAAGTTTTGCTAATAATATGGTTAGAATCTTATACATAAACTTCCTGCTAACTCCCCCTGTCATTTGGCATTACGCTCCCCCTTCCAGTACTTCTCCAGGTCTTCAGATTGACTACTCAGTCTTCCTCGGGAAGGGGGAGAAGGCTTGAACAGCAGTTGGCCTCCTGGGTTCTCCGCCTCTTCAGTTTTGGAGTCTGCTTGGGGCTACTTTTTTGTATTTTCTTAAGGTTGCTTACTTGCTGTTCCTCACCACTTCCCAGGCAAAGTCTGCCCTCCCCAGCCCCGTTATCCCGGAGGGGCTGGGTTTTTTCCAGCAGGGACTAGGTAGGGATGCCAGCCCCCTGCCCCGGGCATTCCCGGAGAAAAGCCAGCGCAGGGAGGGCACAGACACGTGGCCACCAGGCGATCGCTGCCGCGGCCAAAACCAGCTCCTGCCAAGGCTGGGCCAGACACGTCCTGAGACCCCGGTGCTGCCAGGGCAGCACCAGCCCCCTGGCCTTCTGCTAGCCATGGCAAAACCCATATTGACTGGGTTGCAGAACAGAGCATCCTAAACACTTGTTTCACAACTGTTACTGACTCACAAGAGATGTTACAGTCTTTCGAGAATTCCCATGAGTAAGAGCTGATCTCGGTATGTGTTTGCAGTGTTGGATCTTTAACATTTACTGCTGCTGGCACATGGAGGGTTGCACAAAGCACTTTTGGTCACACAGCTACCTAAAATATTTATCGGTGTGAGAATGTAGTCCTTTGTGTTCAGAACAAATGTTCTTTGATATTTTTAAATTATTTAAAAACTTTGCATGAGTGAATTGGAAATCTCATCACGCGTCTGACACCGGTTGGGGGTGCTTAACTATCTTTGCTTAGAAATCACAATAAGAATAGAAGTGAAAAGCAAATGCTAAAAGAGACAATTTTTCAGAGGTCAAAATCCAGATAAGAAAGAAGAAGGGACACACCCTCATTTTATTGTTGTATTCACCTAGACTCAGTTAAGACCTGCAGATACTCATGCATATGTGCTTTATTAAATGACTGTGATACATATCTAAACCCCATAGTTTTTAACACATAGAATTTTAAAACAGACTGGGACAATGATGGACTTTATTGCTTTTCAAACTACTTTAAATGTAGTAAAGTGTAGTACAATGTGGTGAACTGAAATCAGTAACCCTTGCTGTGAATGGCTATTTGTAATAGCCAGACTTCAAAAGCTTGTTTTCTAGTGACTACTGCTGTGAAGTCTGTTCTGCACTACTAAAAGTATTTTTTACTCTATTACATTCCATAGAAAACTTCAGTGGCTGTTTTCAAGTTCTTTTCACTGTACTACAAGCAATTTAGGTAACTCCAGTCAAAGTACTCCCACATTCTGAGGCTTCGTTGAAAACATCCAGCATGGGACGAAGATTTGTTCACTGAATGACGCCAAGCAGGGAGAATTCCTAGTATGACTTTTAGTAACCCATTTTCCTCTTGCCTTTGCAGCCTATGGCACTATTAAGAAAGTACTTGCCCCGATGAACCAGACTTCAAGCAGCTGCCTGCTCGAGGAAATCGAACTCCTGCCAAAAAGTCAGCGAGAGCCCATCAGGAGCCTTCAGATCCTGCACAGCCAGAGCGTCCTTTTCGTGGGCCTTCAGGAGCACGTGATTAAGGTCCCCCTGAAGAGATGTCTCTTTTACAAAACGTACAGGTATGAACAAGCAGCTAGTTTGATTTGATTGGAGAAAAATGCTTGCGGCAGGGTGTGGAAAAGTGGGAGGGAAAAATGACTGTAAGTAGGAATCCAAATTAATTACCTCTCTCAGCAATGACTTTCTGTGTACACTGTTTATCAGAAGTGTCTCTGACTTCTTGTACTAACTTGTTAGGACTAGATGAGACTCTCAAGTGTCATTATACAGATTCTGAATTGTGAAATGAAACAGTAAGAAATGGTTTGTATAGAAGACAGCTATCTGATAATGTGCAATACAACTGCTGGTTTAATCCATTTAAAGCTTAAAACTTGGACAAATTTAAGTTGTTTTTTTTTTTAAGCTATATTATAACTAAGTAAACCATACCTCTGTGGGTTCAGAAAGGAAACTGGTTTGGATGAACTGAGAGTTAAGACTAGTTGGACAAGTGGCTATTTAAAGGCAGTGCTGGATCAGGAAACCAAAATAAATGTAAATATTCTACTGGGTGGAAGTGTTATGCAGCTAACATTTGTTCAATCAAACAAGGAAGATAACTTACAAATCATCACTTGGTTTTAGACTTTATTATGGTAGTTAAGGAATTTAAAGTTCAGCATACAACTTTTATCTAAAAATACTTCTGGGTTGTGAAACATATGCTATTAGAGGTTGTTAATTCCATCTAATTAGTTATACCTTCCCTTTGATATAAGCGTGGTTCCAGTAATTCAGTACAGTTTACATCTGACTCCGAACCAGCGTGGTGAGCTTTTTGAGAACTGACAGACGCGTTTGTTTTTTAGCTTGTCTCGCTCTCAGGTTATTTAATATGCATTCCTTCAACCAGCCGGTCTACGAGAGGAGGGAGAGAGGCTGCCAGTTGCCTTTCTCGGCCACTAGACTGAGGATCGTGGGGACGTTGTTTGAGCGTGACAGAGGGGTTGGCTGTACCTCCCGTGCGGGGCAGCGACCGTCTGCGGGCGCCAAGGTTTCTGCTCTCGGAGGGGCCGCGGGCTCAGCGGGGGGTGACCGCGGGACGCAGGCGCAGGGCTCTGCCTCGGCGAGAGCGGAGGGACTTTTCCAGGGACCTGGCTCTGCGTGGGGATTGGTGCCGTGCGGGAGGCCAGTGAAAGGTTGAGAACAAGACCGAAGGAAAAGCTGTGCCCTGGAAAACTGGAGTAGACCGGGGAAGGGGAGTATTCTCCCTGTTACAGTTCTTTACCAGCCCTTTTTGTTTTTATGCTATCTTATGTAGCATATTTTAGGCGTTTTTTACTAAAATAGAAGTGATAGGACACTTGAAGCCGCATTGGAAGTCCTGCAAAGCTTACTTTAAGGAAAAGTTATATATAGGCAAGTCTCTGCCTCAAGCGTTTTGTTGGTTTAGGGGCCAACATAGGACCAAGTTTCATCTTTCTTTGGTTTAGCAAGTTGAAATGGGATGTGTGGTGGTCCTGTAGCCCTTTTTGGCTTGTTTTCTCCTTTTCATTAAGTGAAGGACTTACATATTGGGAGGGATATATGTATGTGTGTGCGTATATCTGAAGAAGGAAAAAAATCTAATGACGTATTCTTATGCTTCTCTCTTTTCTTGCATGTGACGTGATCGTGCCATTCTGGTTGTACAAGACACTGAACACATTTCCCTAAGCAGATGTGTGTATTTCAGAAAGGGAGACCAGGCTGGTATCCTGTGTTTTCTTAGGGTCCGTGTACACGTGATGGCAATCATAAACACAGAGAGCTCAGTAATACGGGCGTCCCGTGTTTACACCAAGCCTGCACTCCGCTTCAGACATTTCAAGGCTTGAGCCTTATTACGTTATTAGTGAGGCATGAACTCCAAACTCCAGAGATGAACTTCCAGAGCACCTGCTTAGCTGGTGCCTGTGTGGAGGTCCCACAAGGTCCCTGTGCTTCTGTCAGGACAATTCCCGAGGTAGATCAGTGCTGTCCTGGCTGCAGGGCACAAACGTGTCCCTGCCCTCGCTGGGTGGGACTGGTGTCTCAAATCATAGACCCGGTGCGTGCCTGTAGGCTAGGCATTCCTCTCCCTGTTTGAGCAGTGAGGTCTAATGGACTAGATTTTAAGAGCTTGCTTCTTTCTAAAAAAAAAAAAAAAAAAAAAAAAAAAAAAAAAAAGCAGTTCTGTTCCCATTTTACTGAGTAGAACAGTAGCTAAATGACTCAAATCCTGCTCAAATAATAATTTATTCTTCTGCCCAGAGGTATGTGAAGTCTCATCTTCCACTGGAATGAATTACTTAAAAGGAGATAAAATTATTCCTATTCCTCGTGGGGCTTTTCAGTCATATCTTTTGTAGTTGCATGACTTTCCTCATAGTAATTAAATATCCACTGCACCAAAAGGGTTGCCATCCATGCTTTCTTCTCCCTTAAAGAGTTCACCAGCAATTCAAGCTCTGTTTTGTGAGAAAGGAGAGGATTTACAGATGTGATCTAGATGAAATATGGCATTTCCTTGTCATCTGTCGTTAGGGGATTCGGGTCATTTGGAAAAACGCAGACATAATCTTTCTCTCACCTATCACTTGCTTTTGGCTTAACTAGTTTTTTCCTGGCTTATGCTGGATTTCAAGCGTATTTGGTTCTCTACACGTAGAAAGAGTGTAGGTACTTTACTTGGGGCTATAAATTTCACTGGGTAATGAAACATCTGAAACTTAGTCACTGCATCACTGGGTGCTTTAGTACTCCTCCTTGTTACGTGTTGCCAACTGTTACTTCTATATTATAGCAATGGGTAAATAGAGTAATGGGTAAACCTTACCTAAGGTAATGCCTTGAGCCATTGTCGTTCCTTTTTTGGACTCTTTTAATTTTATCTATTCACATTTATCATACTTACGGCTATATAACTGTGCCAAGGCTATATTCTGAACTTCCATCAATAATAACTAGAGTTTCTTCCCCAGATCAAGGGCATGTGTAGTCTTTAGTATCTATTTCACATAATTATTAAGAAATAGAGCATGTTTGTGTATGAATAACAGCCTTAAAAAAGCCAAAAGGCTGAAGATGCACTAGCTCATCTGCTCTGCCTTTTTGTGTCAATGGCAGAGTGCTCACCGTCTAATCTTTTCTAATCTTTTTGTTTAGGTTTAGTACAAAGCTTTCAGACAATGCAACTCCCTCTGTTGAGCAGACTGTTCCTCAAGCTAATATCTCAATGTCAAGATAATTTTCTTGAGATTGTCTTATTTTTTCTTTCTATTTCATTACTCCTTGTTCTGTTTTCACGTGCTAGCCTCTAAAACATGTGGTTATTGCTTTTATTTGTAGTTTATTATGCCTCCTTAATTATCACTCTGATATGCTGTACATATTTAGCTGACTCATATTTCCTTGTAGATCTGTTCCTCCAGCACTTCCCTGTGGTGGAGTCCTCTGTGACACGCAGTTGCCTCTGGCAAACATTCCCTCTGGTTCAGGAAGGTTCTGTTCCCCACCAGCTCACGGCTCCGCTCCCGCAAACACTGTTATCAAAGGCCCTTGAAAATACTGGTTTACATTTGGAGGCTAAATTTGATTTTTTTTTTTTTTTTTTTTTGGTGTTCTAGTTGTAGTTCAGTGCACTTTTATGACTGTGACAGCAGACCATACCACAGGCAGAGCCTGTTGTCACACCTGTAGTTCGGGTTGCTCTGTGCTTTCTGTTATGCCACGATGTTTTAGTTGTTTATGAGTTGCCCATGCTAGTTATTTGGATTGACAGTTTTCATAGGGGGAGTCTCCCACAGACTTCTGCCAATGGCTGAATAGTTCTGAACATCCTGTCGTAATCCTGCTGTTCTCAGGAGTCAGCTAGGGAAAAATAGCTTGGGACGTGTGAGTTCTTACAAAGAGTTCTCCAAAAAGCCACGGCATCTTCATGCTACGGGAGAAAACCGCAGAGCAGTTACCTTAGTTCAGCTCTCCCTGGGGAAAATCTTTAAGATTTGACCTGGTTATTATCACCTGTGTATTGCAATTCACACATTTACCAAACTTTTATGGAAGACCATCAACATTATTCTCTGGAGCTACTATTTTCACTATGAATTCTCCAGCTCTCTGTACTTCTTCAAAGTTGAGTAGGCCAAGCATAAAGCACAACTGACTTTTTTTATACCTGCTAATTAACTGTAATATGAGATAAATAGAATGATTATCATGAGAAGATAACTATTAAACTCTCTAAAGCTGCAGCATTTGCTATGTACTTTGAAGGCTCTATGCATCTGTAAGAAGGAATAAGATCTGTAGCAGGGGGTAAAGACTCTGTGCCCTGAAACAAAGAACCAGTCAGCTTTCTTTTATTGGCAGCTGTGGCCTTCAAAAGCAACCTTGGGGGGCAGTGATTTCTCTGAGGCAAATTTGTCGATGCTATAATTTGTACTGGAGTTTTCAGTGCATCAGTTCTGAAAGTAGGGGCAATGAAAAGTTGTATCAGCCCAATGTTCTGCAAAACCTTACCAAGCAAGGGTCAAGAATTGGTATTTCTGATGGAAGATAGGTTTCACACACTTAGAAGGCTTGAAAACTAATCTTACTATGACGTTATGTCTAAGTAAATAAATAGTGCTATCCGCTAAAAGTGGTACAAATAGTGACTTCTCTGGTGTAAAAAAAAAAAAAAAAAAAACAAACAAAAAAAAAACCAAAAACAAAACAAAACAACTTCTGGAAATATTTGAGTATTGTTTTTTACATTATATGCTTAAAATATTATTGGGTGACAAGATTGTTTTGCTAAGTAATGTTATCATAGCAATTCTACTGTAACCGTAACTTTTCTCTCTCTGTACTCCATCATTTTTATTTTGGCTTCTTTGTTAACTATTAGCTAAGCAATCTGTACATATGCAAAAGATAACTGTAGCAGCATAGTACTAAAAAGGGTACTGGATTAACTGACAGAAGAAAACAATTATTGGAAATTTGGTTATGCTTTATTTCATTCCTAGAACTCCAGCAAGATTATTAGATTAAGTATCTCAACCACTGTTGC